ACTCTGCTGATTGTAACCACCCTGGTTGATGTGATTACCTTGATTTCCTTGGAATCCAGAATTAGAACCGCCACCGCCATAACCTGGTCCGTGAGAGACGGATCCTGAACCGCCACCTGGCCCATGACTGTCTTGAAAAAAATTGGAATTCTTGTACTCCTTCATAATATAACAATCCTTCCAGAGGTGCCCGGACGGTCTTTCTCGCATACCATGTCTTGGGCAGGGCTGATTTAACATCTTTTCAAGATTGATACTGGACCCTCCGGTCCGTGGGGGCGGTTTACCCTTACGACGCTGACCATTATTCTGGGCATTGGTGTTAGCCACAAAGTCAAAACTATTATCAGCTTTGCGCTTACCGTTGCCTTCCTGGTTCGCCGGGTTATGCTGCTGCCCCTTGGCATTGCTGCTCTTCCTTCCCTTCCACGGCTTTTCGTCATCAGACTCGGGGTCCTTGGTACTATCAGAGTCGGCATACTTAACCAGAGCCGCCATGAGTGTCCCCATGTCATTGCAATGGCATTTGAGCCGCCCCGGTTTTTGCTTCAGGGGCGTGAAAACGACAATTGTTTTCCAACATCAACACCACTGAGTCAGCATTGATGCGATCCGACGAGTGCAGGATTGTTGAGACCCGACGCACCCAATGGGTTGTCGACTCACCTTCTTCTTGGACACAGGAGGCTAAATCCACAATTGACATGGGTTGCTTACATATATCCTTGAAGTTCTAGATGAACCGGGCTTTTAACTCGGCCCATGACCCGATGGAATTGGCAGGGGAGCCCTTCAACCAAGTGCGGGCCGTTCCTTCCAACATTAGGGGGAAATACTTAGCACATGCAGCCTCGCTGACATCTAACACTTCCATGGCCATCTCATAACTCTCAATCCATGCCTCGGGACTTAAATTGGTTGTGTACTAAGGCACCTTATGAGGACCCTTGAAATCCTTGGGCATACGCTCATTACGTAGATCCGGTACTAAGCATGGCACACCCAAATTTCTAAAGGTCACACCTGGCTCCACAGAAGTGGTTGGACGAACCGGAGTAGGTTGACGGGCCGCATGCTGGGCCGCCAGCTCGGCCTCTCTACGTGCTCTTCCTTGATCCACTACGTTCTGAGCATCAGCACCTCCGCCCGCCGGGTTATGTCCACGAGGCGGGTTATGGTTCCGTCCACTGCTTGACACAGCCGGCTCGTCAATATGTCCGTTGTAACTCCGGCTCGGACGAGGGGTGGAGTGAATCCTGTCACGACTGTAAGAGTAGGCCTGCTGCTGAGTCAGTGCTGTCTGAAGAAGCTCTCTAGCCCTCTGTGTTTCAACCGCCGTCGGCGACTCACCATCAACCGGGAGAGCCGCCAATCGTGACGCCGCGGCGATCATATTATCCAAAGGGTTAGAATAATGACCCAGTGGCGTCGGCACGTGCTGCGGCGGGTTATTGTTCTGACGAGGCGGGTCCGTTGTGCGTGGCTGAACCGGCATACCCGTCCCAGGTGCTTCAGCTCGATTTACCCCTCTCGGGGTACTGGTCCCTGCTCCTGGCGTGTTCAAGAGATTTCTTGCCTCATAAACCGACGGCAGACGAGTCTGATGTCTCCTCCTCATAACTTCTTTTGAAGCGTTCTGATCTAGCATGAGCCGGTAAGACTGTGACTGAATTCATTGCGCCTAAGCATCCAAAGCAGCCCGCTCCTCAGCCATCCTGGTGTTCTATGTGTTTAACTCCTCTTTGGCCTGTGCTATCTCATCACGCAACTTCAAATCCGCCGCATCATGTTGATCTTGATCCGCCGGGTTAACCACCACTGTTAACAGCGCTGACAGCTTATCTAGTAAATCGGTTAAAACCTGAGCCGGCAGGCGCTCAAGGCCTCTTGCCCCGGCAGCCACTGCCGCTGCTGACCCGGAAACCAGCTCTGCTGCTGTCGATGAGTGTTGTACGAGCTGTGTACCGGCCATGAAGATTGCAACCCGGTTCGGCGGCTCACAGGGGTCCGAAATATTGTCGCCATCGGAACAGCCTCCAAGTTGGCCCTCTTGCAGTTGATACAATGATTCAGCCTCACCAGTGGATGACTCACCATCAGAATAGACGACGGTCTCACCACCAGATGTCGATCTATCCTCAGGTTCCGCTCCATGGATAAATCCCATGAAGGCACGATTCATGGCGGGCTGAACCCGGGCGGGTCTTGCACGTTGAGCCGTCTCGATGATGTCGGTGCAGATGTCCGGCTCAGGGCCTGGTTCGCCGATCTTGCCGATGAAAACATGAATTCCGCCGAAGGGGACCCGGTACCCGTACTCAATTGAGCCGCCCTCGGGGCCCCAGCCTGCGTCGTCGATGTAGAGCTTGCCGCGACGACTCTTGGTCATCCGGCCCACGACATATCCCTTGATCCCTTCGAAGTTGCCCTCTAAGAACTTGAAACCATCATGCAATAGCCCCAATGTGGGCGCCAACTGTAGTGGAATTGTCACGGCAGATGTCCTAGTATGAGGACTTAGTCGTGGTGCCATCACAATGAGGTTAGCTTAAAGTGGTTAATCAAGACAAAGGACACGAGGAGTTTATACTGGTTCAGCCCCTTACAGTGAAGGTAAAAGCCTAATCCGGTTGTAGGTGGTATTGCTAGGGTTTTGATGAATGGGGAGCGAATACGCTTGACCCGGCTCTCGATCTGTTGATTCTTGTCCTAAGCCACCGCTGGGTCGTCCCCTTATATACACGGGTTGATGCCCTGCGGCCTATAGAGTCCCGGCCGGCTTATACAACGTATCCGACTCGGTGACCCTTCGTTCCTACCTTACAAAACAAGTATACATACATGGTGGTTTATATCCGCGAGCCTTAAGCCGCCTTCGGGTTTGACCCTCTACAAAGTCCATCTATGAACCGCCATATGCTTCTTGGGCTTCATTAAGATGAATCATCATAGGGATGACCCGGCCCCTCCTGGGCGGGTCATACCTAATAGTTATATCCCCAACAGTCACTAAGGAACAGACATGTGTCCAATGGTTGGATTTTGAACACACGCGGCAGCTTGACTTGGGCTACAAGCAAAGCTGACTCATTCAAATCTGGATAAGATTTACTCTCATTGCGTTCACTCGAAGACATAGGACTTGGGTTGAGCATCACGTCAGTCTTCTGACTTTGTTCACTTGGACCCCACTTAATAGTTCGGTGGTTCCTATGACTCAATAAAAAAGAAAATGAAACTATGAAAGAAACTATGTCTTCGCACTCCATAGTCTCCACGTGAATGTCTTCACACATCATTATCTTCAACGTGAATGTCTTCACGAACCACCATTGTCTTCGATGTCGTCATACATTTTTAGGGGTCATCTCTGGTAGGTAAACCGAATCAATGAGAGACTTCTACCTGTGGTATCCTGCAATTCTCACAAACACATTAGTCCCTCAACCATGTTTGTCGTCAATACTCCAAAACCAACTAGGGGTGGCACTAGATGCATTCACAATTGCTTCACCCTTCCTCTTCGGGGAAAAACCCAACGCAGCTCACAAGTAGCAATCTGCATTCTCTTCTTTCTTTCTTTTGAGGTCAGATGGTAAAATAGGATTATCAAAGTAACCCTCATCATCTTCTCTCCAAATTCAATACCACAAATGGAAGAACCACTTATGTGACCGCATTGTCGGTTGGTCACGTCCCCTCCTCACCACTGGTCCACTATGCTGGTGTTTGCTGCTACTCGTCGCGTCGGATAGTGTTACTCATGCACACTGCAACTGCTCCGGCATCTATAGCTCCTCATCCACCTGGCAGCTATAGCTCCTTGTTGGTTAGTGCCAGTGCAAACATGCGTACAGTCACATTGTATTAGCGTCCTTGGGCTCGATTACTCTCGAGTGAGAAAAGAAAACATTAAGAGGATTGGCGGGTGGCTTTATTTCCTTTTGTAATATACTTGAAATCTTGTTGCAACCATTATATCTTGAAAACAATTTCGTGCTTTAATGTTTTATATACATCAATTTGTGTTAGAAAATTAGGAGAGAGGCCATATGGGTGCATTTGAATTTTCACCCCAAGTTACTTGATACTTTGATGTTTAACCCGTCTTGCAAGCATTTGCCCTCTCATAGAATGAACTTTGATCTTTTGTCCATATCGAAATAATCAAATTATTTGGTTTTCTTTTTTAAGTATATGGTAAAAATAGATTACCAAAGTGCCCCTCATCATCTTCTCCCCGAATTCAATACCATAAATGGAAGAACCACGTTTTTTAAGAAACCCGCGTGTATCAAATAAAGTTAGCAATTATAACATACGCAAATTGCACTGGAAAACACCAGAGGGGACAACTGTCATGGCACATAAGCAAAAAAACACCCTCGCATAAACAAATTTTGTAAGCGGGCCTTGAAGGGGGTCGATTGTTGAACCAAATCATCGTTATCCGCCAGCACGCCGCTGACGTCATCGCCGGCCACGTTGTCAGTCGGTGCCGTCCCTCCTCACCGAGGGTGCTCATCCACGACGTCAGTGGGTGCTGGTACTCGCTGCCGCCGAATAGCGCCACTCATGCACGCCATAACTGCTCCGCGACGCCGGTGGGTGCTGGTACTCGCTACCGCCGGATAGCGCCACTCATGCACGCCGCAACTGCTCAGCGTCGGTAGCGCCACCGCCCCTTGTTCGGTAGCGCCGGCACGCAAACACACGTACGGTCGCGGCGTATTAGCGTCCTCACGCGGGATTACGGTATCTCGAGTGAGAACAGAAAAAAAAAAGAGGGTGGCTTTAATTTCCTTTTGCAATACACCAAAAATCTTGAGGCAACCATTAGATCTGGAACACAGTTTTGTGCCTGTGAATGTTATATATACAGCAGTTCCTTCGGAAATAGGGCAAACGCACAGGAGAGGAGAGGAGAACAGAGGGATCGAATAAACCTCGGGGCCCTGCGGTTGTGTTGCCAATCGGCGAAGTGCACCGCGGCGCCGCGGATGGGGCCTCTCAAATCTCCCTTCTTGTCCCCCTCTGGCCCCAGGCCAACTTCCCCTGCAAGCAGAAGGCCACCGCCGCCCGGCCATCGTCATCACCGTCTGCCGCCGCCCCCTCCGCTGCCGCCTCCGCCCCCGCTCCCTCTGCCGCCGCCGCCACCCCTTCCCTCGTCTTCCCTGCCATTGCCGCCTCCATGCCCCCCAGCCGATGCCCTCCAGATGCCGCCGTCACCTCCTCTGCCCCCGCCGCCGCCGCTACCCCCCGTCACCTCTCATCTGTCCCGTCTCTCGTCGTCTCCGCCATTGCCGCCTCCACGGCGTACCCTCCGGAAGCCGGCGCGCCGTCGGACTCCGCCGGTGGGGGGAGCCTCCTCGGCCTCCGGCCTCCCCACCATCGTGCTGGCCCTCGCTTGTACTGCCCCTGCCAAGCGGGCGAGAGAGGGGCATTCTGTCGAACAACTGGCGCCCGCGCGTGGGTCTCCGAAGACCCTGCCCGCCTGCGACACCGCGCCCGGTGAGGAGCTCGCCGGCGTCCCTCTGGAGCTGCTCCCGCCCAAGAAGAGGCTCGTGCGGTGCCTCCCATACGAGGCGGCCTCTACGATCCAGGAGATCGCCAGCCACGGCCGCGGCGACGGGTTCGGGGATCGGCCCGCCTCTCCCACCGTGGAAGGCGACGGCAACGCCGACGGGTTCGGGAATCGGCCCGTCTCTCCCACCGTGGAAGGCGACGGCAACGGCGACTGGTTCGGGAATCGGTCCGTCTCTCCCACCGTCGACGGCGACGGCGACGGCGAGGGGTTCGGGAATCGGCCCGTCTCTCTTACCGAGGAAGGCGAGTGGGACGGCCACAGCGACGGCGAGGTGTTCGGGAATCGGCCCGTCCCTCTCGCCGTGGACAGCGACGGCGGCGGCATCCACGGGGAGGAGCCTCAGGTCTACCGGGACGACGACGGACTGCGCGCCGAGCTTAACCGCCTCCACGTCCCCCGGCCGTCGCTGGTGCTGACGAAGCGGCTGACCCTCTCGGACCGCAGCCGCGAGAAGGCCCGCCTCGTCCTCCCGGACGGCCTGGTGAGGGCCTCGCCGCTGCTCAGCACGATGACGCCGGGGGAGCGGCACATGGTCCTGGCCGGCGGCGGGCTGGCTGTGCCGTCGTTCGACCGCCTGGGCCGACCGTACCACATGATGCTGAAGCGCGACCGCCTCGCCCGCACGTACCGCCTGACGGGCGAGTGGTCCCTGTTCCTGTCGCGGCACGGCGGCATGCGTGACGGGGACGCGGTGGAGGTGTTCGCCTTCCGGCCGCCCGGATGGCAGGCGCGCCTGGGCAGGTCCGGCCAGGGCGGGCTCGGCATGGCGCTGCTCCACTGCCGGCGCTCGCGCGCGGCCCCGGCGCCGGCCAACGCGGCGGACTGGGACGGCTGGGGCTGCGACGCGGCAGACGACGGCCTGGTGCTTCCCGACGAAAACCCTGCGAGGCGGGAAAGGCTGGCCCGGCGGCGAGGTCGACCTGTGAATCACAACGGCCCCTTTCGTCCTTCCTAGGCGTGCCTGAGCCAGAGAGAGTGGGATCGACGGAGAGGTAAGGAGATCCATATAGAGTAGAGTTCGTGCTGAAGCTGATGAGCGTGTGGCGGCCGCCGGCCGCCGGCGACGGTGGCATGCGGTGGTTTTTAGCGATCAATGGGACCGGCAGCAAAAGTAGTTTTCTGGAGTGGGCAGGAGCGATCAATGGTGGCAGTTGCAGTACAATCCATCTCAACTTGTAAGCTGCGCATTTTGGCATATGCATATGAAACAGTGGAATTTGAGGTTGAACGATGCGCATCTGCCTGCCCTCGTTGTTTGGTTTTGGCTGGAGTATAACCTGAAGCTTCCATCGCGGTCTTGCACTCGTTGTTCTCTGTCTTAGCAACTCCAATGCTGATTACCAAACAGCCCGCAAATGTCTGGGCTGGATGATCAAAACAATTTAGGTCATTCAAGGGCGCTCATCGAAATTATCCGGACCGATCCGAAAGTCCAAAATCCCGCGACCCGGCATCGAATTCCGCTCTCTCTGCGTCGTCTCAAGAACTGTCTGCGCATTCAGAGCAGAAGTGATCGGCCGACTGCCCGCATTCTCGTCGGCTGATCGGTCGTTCGCCTACACGACACTCACACCGAGGCGGAGCCATAGAAGCCTACTCTGGCGCTCTGCATTCAACCCGGCACTCGCCCTGCCTAGGCTATTTAAGTTGGCTGACCACGCCGCAAAAACCCTATCCCTCAGAGCCCTTCTAGTGTATGAGGAACTGTCCAACCACTTGTTCTCATCATCGTCTGTCGTCGACCATCACCATAGCCCGGTCCTTTGCTATGTGGAACAAGAGCGTCACGTCGGCGCGTCTCGCCTAAATCGCGAGGGAGGTCCGTGACACGAAGGCTCGACTCCAAGCGCGCATTGATCCCGGCCAACCTGTCAGCTCTCCAGAGCGCTCAGAGGAGATGAAGGGCGAGGAGGAGGGTGACCCCATGATAGGGATCACCATGGAGGAGGGGCATGTGTGCGCGTCGGTGGAGGAGCCATCGGTGTCTGGGTTCAGCATGGTGCAGGCGAGGTAGCACTACGGCCGGGTGCTAGTGGAGGAGGAGCGGGCGCCCGCATCGGTGGGGATGTCGGTGTTCGCGTTCAGGCAACTGCTGGTGGAGCAGCACTGCAACCTTCAGCTCCTAAAGGAGTACCGGCCGATGGAGGACCGACTAGAGGCGGAACGCGCGTCCAGAGTTGTTGTCGTGACCATTGTTGCGGCGGACCTGGCGATCCTCGACATAAACTGGGCCGTGCTCGACTCCATGCACAACCTTTGCGCCGTCTGTCGTGAGCATCGGCGGCTCAACGTCAACAAGGCATAGCGCAACCATCTCTCCGAGGGGTTGGAGGCTAAGTAGGATGACGCGCAATGAGCGATGATGCCAAAAAGGCATTCGTTGTCACCACTGCCTCCTTCGTGTCGGCCCGCAATGACTTCGATGTCAGACCGTCCGGTGCAGGCCTCACCTCCGACAACCACGTCGATTTCCAGAGCGACGGCGCTGAAGAGTAAATTAGATTTATTTTTTCCGTAGATGTTTTATTACTTGTTTTGAGGATCTTTTCTATGCATTTTTTCAAAAATCAATGCAAAAATCGGTGCCCATGGTATTTAAATGGTATTTTTTTTTTCAAACCGGGCTATACCCCTTTTCATTGCAAATGAACGGAAATACAGAGTTCAGAAACATGTCAGGAGGAGGGAAAATGGTATTTAAATAACTTGGTTGGATGGGGCTCCTCGTCCATAGAATGTCCATTTGATGATCTATGTTGGAGTTGCCCCTAAATTGCCCGTGATGTCCATGGACAAGGTTGCATGAGAGATGGCGGCGAGGCTTGGTGACAGCGTGACAAGGTATCATGTGATGTACGCTAGCTGCGCAAATGTACGTCTATGGCTGAAGGCTATGCAAGGCGAGTCCTTTTAACTCCTACGACTTTGTTAAACAATAATCATATATGTTACAAGGGAGGGGATTAAAAAGTCAGGAGGATAATTACGTCACTCCTCATAAAGTTCCCCTCTATAACTCGCTCGGGCTAGCCAATCCGTAACGGCATTACTTTCTCGGGCAGAATACACAATCGCCGCCTTGCTGAAAGAAGTCGTCAACTTTTGATAACCATCAATAATCATTGCTCCCAAAGCTCGGTATTCTAAAGGATCCAAGATGGCCTACACAATTTCCAACCATTCCCATTCAACAACCATTTGGGGGAATACCCATCTCATCAGCGAGACGCGACCCTTCCTGAGATTATGCACTCCAAAAGTTTCGATGGTGCTTTCCCCTTTGCAGCTAGCGCATTCGCCACAATGCCTCTAATGCTTAGAGCTGAACGTATAGGGGAGCCCGTGTTTTCATAATTTCATTATGAGGAATTTTACGGCGCTTCCATCAAATGTACTCTCTCTGATCTATATTAATTGTCATTGATTTAGTATAATTTTATATTAAATCGGTGACAATTAATATATATGCGAGGGAAACCAGCCACCATAATTGTTTCGATTTCATTGGGTATTGGGGATGTCATATCTCCTGGTAGCTCGTCACACGGTAGTTGCTCCGGAATCACCGATCCAGAGAGACCATTATGAAGAATTGAAGATGTAATTTCAATGTATTCTTGATTTGATATCCCGGTCCGTCAAAGTACAGTAGCAAGGGATTTCATATGCCCATCCGTCAAAGTACAGTAGCAAGCGAGTCGTTTGTTATTGCGACGTGAGTGTTGGCAGTGTGTCGTCACATGGTCTGGCTATTATGGGCTGCTCAAAGATCGAAACTACTTGACGAACGACAGTCCTTGGACGATGCTTGCACGACCGATGATCCAACGGTGCAAATCCACGCATCAGATGTGATTAAAGGCTCAGCTGGCTCTGTCGTCCATAAATCGTGCAAGGAATGTCGTGTGTGTAGCAATGCTGCTCGAAGATCTGCCTGCGCCGGTGGGTGTGGTTTTCCTATTGGTTCTTTCTTATATTAATGAAAACGACTTGTTTGAGAAAAGAGATTGGTGGTTGTTGACGCGGCTACATAGAATGCACGTGGCATCTGGTCTGGTCGTGCTGTAAATTTTTTGGTTGTTGAATAGCATGCACGTAGGCTGGTTGACTGCGCTGAAGTCGATCAGGCGGCGGCACGGGTAGTCAGGTGGTTCCCCGCGTCCCTGGATGTCGGACTGGGCATCGCCGCACCTGTGTCTTCCATTCCAACGGTGCACACCGTGAAGCTAGCAAAGTACTGTAGCTAGTGGGACTTTACGTGTCACAGTTCTCCCAGAAAACTTGCGGCTCAGAGATCCCAGGACTATGGAACAAGCAACTGATGATTACTGATGCAATGAGCAGGAGCAGGGGGCATTCAACTGTGCATCTGGCGTACGAGATGCAAAATACGCTTTAGGTATAATATAATATTATATGCCTAACTTGAATAGGGTACCGTCAGAATCGGCACTCGGTTGATTCAGGTCATTCCTCCGGTGAATAAGTTCGAGTTCCAACAATTACTGAAAGTCGCTACTTATCTACAAAATCTTCCCTGCACTCAGGAAAGCAAACTACTACCACCACCTTGTTACCTATTTCTAGTTAGGGAGCCTGCAGCTATCACCCCCATTACCAGGCAAATTATCTCCTACCTGCGCACGCTGTCTTCAGGCTGCGGGCAGGTTCTTCTTAACCTTGTCTTCCAGGAACTTCCTAGTGTCAGCGCCCTTCACGTTGAACTCCATCAGAAGATCTTCAAACAGCGTCTTGAGGTTGTCAGTGAACTGAGTGCGCCTACCCAGAGGATCCACCCTCATCACTTCTTGCTTCTTTGGTACACTGCTGCTACTGCGGCTGCTGCTGCTGCTGCTAGACGCTCCAGTGCCGTCGTATTCCGCTTCTTCCTCTTCGGGGACCTCCGATCCGACCATGTTACCCTCTAGGTAGTGTTTGCATGCTGCCAGAATGGTGCGTCCGCGTTCCCGGAAGTGGCCGGCGACAAGGTCTCCAAAGTGCTGCAAGTAGAGCCAACAACAAAGGAAGGTTACTAAAAAGCAGTAGATAATAGAGTTCCATGTGACTTAACTGTCTGGTAATTACAAATAAGGGATGTCATCTTGCAAAATTAAATTAAAACTTATCACATAGGAAGCACCTTCCCGTTAATCAGGATCAGAATGACCTCTTTCTATAGTAACAGAAACAGGATAAAATACTATTAAACCAGGATCAGGGAATACTCAGCACACCTGCATGTTCTTCCCCTTGGCTATAAATCTATAATATGTTTGGTCTGTCCAAAAAAGAAGCTGCGGCATGTCACATCCTACATTCCTATCTTCTAGTACTTATCATTTTGTTCTGTAGATAGATCATTTTGTTCTGTAGATATATGGCCGTCTTTGCATACCGAAAATTTTCTTAAACTCCATTCATTCAGTCAAGTATGCATACTACTCCCTCCGTTCCAAATTACTTGTCGCAGAAATGGATGTATCTAGAACTAAAATACATCTAGATACATCCATACCTGCGACAAGTAATTCAGAACGGAGGGAGTAGGTATCAAGCTGCCCATGCACTAAGAATACGAAAAAATGAGTAACCAGGCATTGCATTACTCAGGTAATCATGTACAAGGCTGGCTGCTTATTTAGGCCTAAACTGGAACAAGCCCAAAGGCCCACCCAAAATCCACTACAAGGTGGGACTGACCAAGCGCACACCAGCCACTGTGTTTTAGAACATTGATGATGAAACAAACCTTCATATAGCATATTCAAGCATATAACCGCAGCAAATGCAGTAAACCACTGGAAGATCCAGAAATTTGAGGAAATAAAAGGGCTAATCTCTAATAGTCTAGCATGTCACGAGTAAGTTTCTTGTTTCAGCATGCATTAAAAGGACAGGAGAGAGACTATTATTTTGTTTTTGCCCGTTAACAGCCAGAACTGTAGGTACATATAGCAAAACATTACCTCCGGAGGCCTTCTAAGTGAATACAGCATAGTCCTACAGGAGTGCAGAAATGTGGTCTTGTTATACTCTACAGAATGCTGTTGTCCAGTTGTGGTATTCGCAGAGCCTGCATATCCCGGTTCATTGAAGTATGGCTTCTCATTCAAAATGAGAGCCTGAATGGACACAAGCACCTGCAGCATGGTTGAGTGAGCTGAGTTCCACTTCTCGCAACCACTACCACTCCAGGTACCAAGGAGGCTAAGGCAGACTTTTCCACAATTATACAAGTTCGGATTAAGTCGAAGCCCTCCAGAATGGTAATACACCAACTGCAGCACCATCAATGTTAAGCATTTTAGTAAAATGATAAATATAATCACATAAAGAGAAATGCTAAAAGCTTACGTACCGGAGGCTCTGAAGGATAATTAGAGGTAAAATGTGCATCAAAGAAGAAGAGACCATCATGATAGGGTGTTCCCTTAGGGCCAATAATCGCAGCCCTAAGAAGATCCATTCTATCTTCAGCAACACGGACAAAGATAGAAGCTACAAAAAAGAGTAGTTTTCACAATTTATACTTCTGATTGGAGAGAAAGTATACTGAAAAGGTGCAATAAATAAGCCATAGCTTGCTCAACTTCATAATCAATCCGTTTGCTAGTGCTAAGTCAAATGAGAAATAACTAAATTTCGTAGAGCAAATTTAGCTGCCAATTAGCCGTAGGATTTGATTATTTATCCAGATCTCAAAATCATTTATGTATTATTTTGGTGTTATTGCCCCCACTGTTGGATGAAAGATTCTAGGGCTCACAGCATTGACTGGGTATTAGAAATCAAATATGCCATTTAAGCCTCACTAGTCATTCAGTACAAAGCTACGCAAAACCGATGCCAAACAAATCATTGAATTGTTTTAGCCACACTAGATTAACATTAAGTATAAGTCCAGATCTAATAGATTTCAGAACTCACTCCAAAATCTTAAGATTGTACAGAGATACTTAATAAGCTTAGAGCATAAAGTAGAATGCTTCCATAAATTGACAGTTCTACTAAGATTATAACCCTAAGTGTGTAAATATATCACAAGAACAATGAATACATCCATTTTTAAGCAGTTTAATCAGATAAAACAATTAAGAAACCTATAAAATAGAGAAAGCCACATAAAAATTACAATATTATACTTCTATCAAATGATGGGATGATGGTCTTGTGCACCCTGTGCAGACATACTTAAGTGTGCAGCACGGAGAATTGAATAACAAGGTCAATAGATGTACATTAACTCTCCATGCATGCATTATATTACGAGATAAGCTTGAAAGACTGATGTCCTTTATGAGCCTTAAGTAGGCTAAAGGGGTTATGGTTCGTGTGCCCCAAGAACCTAAATTTCTACCTTGGACACTCATAAGAACATGACAAAAGGCGCATGCAAGTAGTAGAGCCAATTGTGTTGGCTAGAGAAAATCTAGTTCACCAGAGTGTTATGGAGGTGCTAGGTTAAATTTTCAGTGGAATATACCTTTGTCCCACTTATTATTGGTAAAACTGAATAGTTAACTTACAGAAATCTAAAGAGAGAAACCGAGTTGTTAACAGCTAACCTGGTAGATCTTTCTCTAAAAGTTTCCAGTCATGTTGAATTCTCTTTGCCCATTCCCTGCTTGTCTGAAATAATATGCACATGAACAAGACGTAAGTATCACACGCTCCGCAAGAATAAAATAAAATAAGAAGGGATTCGTATACAAAATGAGCATAATGTGTGAAATCAATTAATTCAACACATTACCTTCCCCACTGATTTATTAGCATAATGGTGGTCAGAGAAATTTTGAACAGTGTAGAATTGTTGAAATGCCTTATATTTCCTTGTAATTTCATCCTCAACTAACTCATCTGACGCTCCATCCTGCTCGTCATTGGCTGCAAGTTTCTGAAGCCATGGTACAGTAGCCTCCACACCTGGAGGCAGATCTAAATCATCAAATTTATCAGCAAGCTGCTGATTAAAGTCAGCTTCATCGAATTCATATTCAGAGTCATTGCCGTTTTCATCATCACAATCATCATCATCATCCATATAGTAATCCTCTTCCTCATTTTCTACGTAATCAGTATCTGGTAGCTCTGATTCAGACATTTGCACAGAAGCACTTGTGCTGGATCCAACTTGGTCGCTGGAAGAACCCTGTTAGATAGTGACATGTCAGTAGAAAACAGAGGTAATTATGCTGTTGTATGGTGAAACTAAAACTAGCAGAGTACTTCATTCCGCAATTAACTATGTGATGTCTAATTAGTATTGTTTGTGATATAATTAAACGGAAATCCCATCCTCATGATCCGAACCATACAGATAATAAGATAAGAAATAACAGAAAAGACGATCAGAATAACAGAAACACACAAAGATCGGAACTTGTGGCATGCAGATGGCACCGACACCCCTAAAATCTTCAAACAGATCAAATTGGTCGTAGACCTAAGCCAATTATGACCGGCATTGCATCAACGACCTGACAAAGGGTACGTGCCGCAAGATCGCATCCACAAACCCCTCAAATCCCGGACATAATTAAGAAATTAACCCCAATAAAGACCTATAAACCCTCCTAAATTTCCGCCCAAAACTCGAAACCCTAGTGTCGAGATCGCGGCTTCTCACCGCATAAAAACCCCAATTCCGACTGAACAAAACCCTAAACGCGACACCTCGGGCGCAACGTAGGGACTTGGCACGCGAAAATCCAAGGCCGCGCACCGCGTTCGGTGCGGAGAAAACCAAAATCAACTGGGGAACGCGGAACGAACGGAACCCCACGAACCGGGCGAAATTACCTCGCATCGCTGGCGCTTCTGCTGCGATGAACTCCAAGCCGCCGCGCCCGTCGCCCAGCAGGACGAGCCCCCCTGCTGCGGCCCGCGGCACCTGCACGGGAACAATACCCCTTAAGCCGATCACCCAACGGCGAAAAGATTAAAAAAACAACCAAAAAGTTGAGGCGCCGTCCGATCGCGGCGGCGGCGGCGACGGGGAGGAGGTGCCGTACTCGGTGTCCATGGCCGCCGGCGGAGGCCAGGCCGGGGGCGCCGCGAGAGGGGTAGGAGGCGGGATGGGGTGGGAGCTCGGGCGGAGTGCGCGGGTGCGACGGAGGAGAAGCGAGGCGAGACTGCGAGAGGGGAAGGGGAACGCGTGGCCGTACCGATCTATTTGGCCCGGGGGGTTGGCAGAGTCCTGGGACCCACCGCACTGGCGCTCCTAGGCGCGCCGCACTCGCTCGCTGTAGCCTGGGGCCACGGTGGAGGGAACACCGTTCCAGGCCCACGTGTCAGCGGGTCGGGTTGAGTCCTGGCGTGAGGGGAGGGGAAGAGGGGAGGAAGGTTAGGTTCCGCGACGGCGACGCGCTTGCCCACGAGTCAGGGTTGGTATTGACGGTGGACCCGGTATGTCAGGGTGGAGGAGCTGGACCGGGTCGGCGGCTACCGGTTTGGCCTATGTTTATGGGTTTGGAAAGGCTGAAAAACCGGAGCGTTAGGCTTGATTTCACAAGTTGATGTTTACTAAGGGCGATACTGTCTTATCTTAAGTTCGGCACATGATAATTTAGAAAAGATAATAAAAAATGGTGACGATGGTTATTTTTTAGTCTTATCTTTTTATAACTAAGGCCTCTTTTAGTTCATAGGATAGGATTATTATAGGAATAGGAATCTTGTAGGAAATGAGATGACATGTATCTCAAATCCTATGAGTAGAAATAGGAAACAAGATATCATTTGGTTGACATCAAAGGAATTTTTCCATTGAGTCTAGGCTCTTTTTTATTTTTCTATGAAATGTGGAGGATAGGAACCAATCCTATGTAGGAATAAGAATCTATTCCTATGAACCAAATGGCTCTAAAGGAAAAAAATCCTATAAGAATCCTATCCTCTAGAATTCTTATAAAATTCCTCTAAACCAAATGAGGCCTAAGGCCTCTTTTGGTTTATAAGGTAGGAAAATCATAGGAATAGGAAAGTCATAGGAAATGAGATGACATGTACCTCAAATCCTATGACTAGGAATAAAAAAGGAGATGCTCTTTGGTTCACATCATAGGATTTTTTCATTGAGTCTAGCCTAATGTTTATTTTCCTATGAAATGTGGAGGATAGGAAGAATTCCTCCACAGGAATAGGATTTTATTCCTACAAACCAAAGGGCTCTAAAGGAATTTTTCCTATAGAAATCCTATCCTATGAAATTCCTATAAGATTCCTCTAAACCAAAGAAGGCCTAAATGTTCCTAAATATGTGGTGAGATAATTGTTGTTGTATTCTACATGATAATACGTGTGTTATTCATATAATAAATAATAAAGTATAAGCCACATGGATATTGATATCGACCTGATGAAATTGAAAAGACAGCAAAACACTAGCTTACCACAAAGGATCGTCAACCAAAAACAAAATTACAATCATGACCGACGACATCCTTAAGCTTGACTCCAACACACGTCACCACTGTAGCAGCCACCTCTTCACTTGAGCTCGACGCGGCTACATCGCTGATATGCAACTTTACGAGCCTCTAAAGTAGCTTACCAAGGTGAAGTCATTATCGTTGAAAGAATCTAGCCGGGTAGTACCCAGATACCTCATTGAAATCCAGATCTGGCACCCCTCACAGCTAAGACGTGTGAGAGAAAATCATACCTGCTAATCATTCTCCAATTCAGTAATGTTGCGGATGTTGGCTTGGCCCTTCACGCTCCTTTGCTCGACATACGAGGCGTGGTGTAGACGGTCCAGGTGTGGAGTCGGAGACTGATAACCCACAAGTATAGATGATCGTGACAGTCTTCGAGGGTGGTATCACTACTGCAGGATGGTCCTAACGCGACAGTACAATCAGAGACCCTTCGATGAAACTGTATGCGATGCGTTAATCGCAAACAATGGTGTAAGAAAACCGTCAAAAATGACATGAACAGTTTGCGATGGCGGAGGCATCAAACATGATTCAGATTAGAGTTGTGCATGCGATACATGGCGTACGATTGATCCATACGAACCGTTTGTGATGAGCATAACAACAGAAATGGTCAGCCAGATGAAGGTGTGTGCGATATACTGCATACAGTTCACTCAGATGAATTATTTGCGATTAAGCAACACAACAAAAACGGCCAGCCAGATCAAGGTGCGTGCGATATATGACATACAATTTACTCGGATGAATTGTTTGCGATGAGCCAAGACAACAGAAACGGTTCAACTTAACAAGATGTGTGTGATGCGTGGGAAATAGGTCGTAATCAAAAATATGTGTGAAGACCGATAATAACACTAATGATTGTTGCTAATAAGTCGTGTGTGTTGTGGACAAACGCTTGTTGGTATACAATTGCCAGTGATTGATGAAATCATCACTGACGGGTTCCTTAGTTTACTCCGTGTGTGATGTGATTTGTCCTGTCTACAATAGAACAACATATATAATCAAAATAAACATCCAATTACATAAGTAACTATATAAAACATTCGCACACACACCTCAATAAACAATTACATGCATTCTAAACTAGGAGAAACAATCATCTAATCATCTACTTCTTGTGATGCTGTCGTCGCTGCTCTGTGGCTTGATCCCTTGTCCGGGGCAGGACGAAGGCACTTGCCTGCGTACTTGATCCGCTTGTACATCTCATAGCTTGTGTATGCATCCTTGGCCGCGTACTTGACGTGTTCTTCATCCAGTATCTGCTCCGAGGCACTATGCCAGGTGATCTTGTCCTTCTTGCTATCATCCATCATCTTCATGTAGTAGGGGTCGATGATGGCCGAGGTGAGGTCAACCAAGGAGTCCTGATTGTTCTTTGTGTTCCCCCAAACCGTGTAGTGGTCATGGATGTCGACAAGATTCCGGCAGGCCAAGCCCGAAACCTTGAGCATTTGTACATCTTTGTTGGTGTCCACTGTAGCGAAACTGTAGTCGGGGATGTTGATAAACTGGCGAAACGCTCGCAGGGCCTTGTGGCCAGGTGGTAGTGGTAGACGAGGACGTCATGGCACACTGATACGTCTTCAACGTATCTATAATTGTTGATTGTTCCATGCTATTATATTATCTGTTTTGGATGTTTTATATGCAATAATATATTGTTTTATATATTTTTTGGGACTAAGCTATTAACCTAGAGCCCAGTGCTCATTCCTGTTTTTTTTTCTTGTTTTTGAGTTTCGCAGAAAAGGAATACCAAATGGAGTCCCAACGGAATAAAACCTTCGTGATGATTTTTCTTGAACCAGAAGACAACCAGGAGACTTGGAGATGAAGTCGGAGGAGCCAAGACGCGGCCACGCCCGATGGTAGTTTTTTCATCAGGTAACTGCATCGTGGCGCCGCGCCCGATGCAACTGTTGGGGAACGTAGCATGCAGTTTCAAAAAAATCCTACGCTCACGCAAGATTTATCTAGGATATGCATAGCAACGAGAGGGGGAGAGTGTGTCCACGTACCCTCGTAGACCGAAAGCGAAAGCATTTGTTAACGTGGTTGATGTAGTCGAACTTCTTCTTGTTTTGACCGATCAAGCACCGAACGTACGGCACCTCCGAGTTCTGCACACGTTCAGCTCGATGACGTCGCTCGAACTCTTGATCCAGCAAAGTGTCTAGGGAGAGTTTCGCCAGCACGATGGTGTGGTGACGGTGATGGTGAAGTGATCCGCGTCGGGCTTGGCCTAAGCACTACGTGAATATGATCAGAGGCGTAAACTATGGAGGGGGCGCCGCACACGGTTTGGAACAATTGATGTGTGTTGTAGGCGCCGCCTCCCCACGTATATAAAGAAGGGAGGGGGAGGAGGCCGGCCCTAGGCGCGCCCAAGTAGGAGGAATCCTACTTGGGCTCCTAGTTGGATTCCCCCCCCCCTTTCCTTTTACTGAAGGGGGAAAGAGAGAGGGGAGGAGAACCTCCCCTAGTCCAATTCGGCCCCCTTCCCTATGGGGGGCATGCCACCCCTTTGTGGGATGGTGTGCCCCCCTCCTATGGCCCATATGGCCCATATCTTCCCCCGGGGGTTCCAGTACCCTCCTGGTACTCCGATATGGACCCGATACATTCCGGAACACTTTCGGTGTCCGAATACTATCATCCAATATATCAATCTTTACCTCTTGACTATATTGAGACTCCTCGTCATGTCTGTGATCTCATCCGGGACTCCGAACAACATTCGGTCACCAAATCACATAACTCATATAATACAAATTGTCATCGAACGTTAAGCGTGCGGACCCTACGGGTTCGAGAACTATGTAGACATGACCGTGACTCCTCTCCGGTCAATAACCAATAGCGGAACTTAGATGCTCATATTGGTCCCCACATATTCTACAAAGATCTTTATCGGTCAAACCGCAATGACAACAACATACAGTATTCCCTTTGTCATCGGTATGTTACTTGCCCGAGATTCTATCGTCGGTATCTTCATACCTAGTTCAATCTCATTACCGGCAAGTCTCTTTAACTCATTTCGTAATGCATCATCCCGTAACTAACTCATTAGTCACATTGCTTGTAAGGCTTATCATGATGTGCATTACCGAGAGGGCCCAGAGAAACCTCTCCGATACTCAGAGTGACAAATCCTAATCTCGATCTATGCCAACCCAACAAACACCTTCAAAGATACATGTAGAGCATCTTTATAATCACCCAGTTACGTTGGGACGTTTGATAGCACACAAGGTGTCGGGGATATACCCCGCGGCGTAACCCGACCGAAAGTATAACCCGGCCGGACTTGGCGATTCACCGGCGACCCGCACTGACCGTACGGTTTACAAGCAACGTGACTGAACATTATGACTCACTGGTAGCCCGGCTGGCGGAACAGATGGATGACAAGGCCCAAGGCCCAGAAGGCCGGTTTATGTTAATGGTAGGCCAGTTTAAGAGGAAAGGCGTGACGAACATTTACCTTACAAGGAGTTAAGACCCGTACTTGTATCTGGTTTGTATTAGAAGGTAGACTAGTCCTAATCCTAATAGGACTCCACATGTAACCCGCCCCTCTAACTTATATAAGGAGGAGCAGGGCTCCCCAAAGAAGGGACAAGCCAGAGGAAAATAATCTTAAGGGTTAGACATAACTGGGAGAGCCGGTTTACGGTGACTCCCTCGTGATGATAATGAGACCTAGCCACAAACTGTTGGGGAACGTAGTAATTTCAAAAAAATTCCTACGCACACACAAGATCATGGTGATGCATAGCAACGAGAGGGGAGAGTGTTGTCTACGTACCCTCGTAGACCGGCAATGGAAGTGTTGACACAACGTAGAGGAAGTAGTCGTACGTCTTCCCGATCTGACCGATCCAAGCACCGAACGTACGGCACCTCCGAGTTCTAGCACACGTTCAGTTCGATGACGATCCCCGGACTCCGATCCAGCAAAGTGTCGGGGAAGAGTTCCGTCAGCACGACGGTGTGGTGACGATCTTGATGTTCAACTGTCGCAGGGCTTCGCCTAAGCATCACTACAATATTATCGAGGATTATGATGGAAGGGGGCACCACACACGGCTAAGAAAACGATCACGTGGATCAACTTGTGTGTCTAGGGGTGCCCCCTGCCCCCGTATATAAAGGAGCAAGGGGAGGAGGCCAGCCGGCCCTATGGCGCGCCAAGGAGGAGTCCTCCTCCTAGTAGGAGTAGGACTCCTACTAGGAGGGGGAAGAAAGTGGGGAGGGAGAAGGAAAGGGGGGCGCCGCCCCCCTCTCCTAGTCCAATTCGGACAAGGGGGGAGGAGGCGTGCGGCCCACCCTGGCTGCCCCTCTCTCTCTCTCTCCACTAAGGCCCATATGGCCCATTACTTCTCCCGGGGGGGTTCCGGTAACCCTCCGGCTCTCCGGTTTTCTCCGAAATCACCCGGAACACTTCCGGTGTCCGAATATAGCCGTCCAATATATCAATCTTTATGTCTCGACCATTTCGAGACTCCTCGTTATGTCCGTGATCACATCCTGGACTCCGAACTAAATTCGGTAGATCAAAACTCATAAACTCATAATATAACTGCCATTGAAACCTTAAGCATGAGGACCCTACGGGTTCGAGAACAATGTAGACATGACCGAGACACGTCTTCGGTCAATAAACAATAGTGGAACATGGATGCTCATATTGGCTCCCACATATTCTACGAAGATCTTTATCGGTCAGACCGCATAACAACATACGTTGTTCCCTTTGTCATCGGTATGTTACTTGCCCGAGATTCGATCGTCGGTATCTCAATACCTAGTTCAATCTCGTTACCGACAAGTCTCTTTACTCGTTTCGTAATACATCATCTCGCAACTAACTCATTAGTTGCAATGCTTGCAAGGCTTATGTGATGTGCATTACCGAGAGGGCCCAGAGATACCACTCCGACAATCGGAGTGACAAATCCTAATCTCGAAATACGCCAACCCAACATTTACCTTTGGAGACACTTGTAGAGCTCCTTTATAATCACCCAGTTACGTTGTGACGTTTGGTAGCACACAAAGTGTTCCTCCGGCAAACGGGAGTTGCATAATCTCATAGTCATAGGAACATGTATAAGTCATGAAGAAAGCAATAGCAACATACTAAACGATCGGGTGCTAAGCTAATGGAATGGGTCATGTCAATCACATCATTCTCCTAATAATGTGATCCCGTTAATCAAATGACAACACATGTCTATGGTTAGGAAACATAACCATCTTTGATTAACGAGCTAGTCAAGTAGAGGCATACTAGTGACGTTTAGTTTGTCTATGTATTCACACAAGTATTATGTTTCCGGATAATACAATTCTAGCATGAATAATAAACATTTATCATGATATAAGGAAATAAAATAATAACATTATTATTGCCTCTAGGGCATATTTCCTTCACAAACATCATGTAGGGTTGTTACCGGATGATGTTTCCCGGGGGCCGAAGCTGTTTAAACCTTTGTCTTGTGTTGAGTTTCTCAATTCCGCTCAACCCCTCTCAAGCTACCACATAGATGTGTTGGCCTCACGACTAAGTCCTCACAGTAGGACATCTGTCGTGACAATTCCACGACAGTTGGCGCCCACCGTGGGGCGCGCGCACGGTGGTGATGAGTTCTTGGAGGGATCTCTTCAGCGATCGAGAAGCTCATGAGGTGTGCTAGATAAAAAGGAAAAAAAGCTAGTGCAAAGGATCTACGTCATCTACACGACGAGTGGACAGAATACCAGATACCAGATTGAGATGAAAAATAATTAGGGTTAGACGTTTTGTGCGCCACCGGCGATGCGAAGCGATCTATCGAAACCAACGGAGGATTGACTTTGTTTGTACTTCGAGTCTAGCAAACTGTCAAAATGTTGTCTGATCCGCCGAGTCCGGTTCGAGACCAACAACAATTTCTGCTGTCTAATCTGCCGAGTCCCGGAAAGAGTCTATTGTCGGGTTATAGGTTTAAAGCCCCGTGGTTTCTGCTAAGGATTGGAGTACTAGTACTGTACACTACGTACCTTTTTATACTCTATGTGAGATCTACTTAAGGCTGACCAGAAGACTAGTATATGCATGTGTTGGGGAACATAGTAATTTCAAAAAATTACTACGCACACGCAAGATCATGGTGATGCATAGCAACAAGAGGGGAGAGTATTGTCCACGTACCCTCGTAGACCAAAAGCGGAAGCGTTATGACAACGCGGTTGATGTAGTCGTACGTCTTCACGATCCGACCGATCCAAGTACCGAACGTACGGCACCTCCGAGTTCTGCACACGTTCAGCCCGATGACGTCCCTCGAACTCCGATCCAGCCGAGTGTTGAGGGAGAGTTTCGTCAACACGACGGCATGGTGACGATGATGATGTTCTACCGACGCAGGGCTTCGCCTAAGCACCGCTACGATATTCGAGGTGGATTATGGTGGAGGGGGGCACCGCACACGGCTAAGAGATCAATTGTTGTGTCTTTGGGGTGCCCCCTGCCCCCGTATATAAAGGAGTGGAGGACGGAGAGGGTCGGCCCTCTCTACGGCGCGCCCTAGGGGAGTCCTACTCCCACCAGGAGTAGGATTCCCCCTTTCCTAGTAGAACTAGGAGCCCTTCCAAGTAGTAGGAGTAGGAGGGAAGGAAAGGGAAAAGAGAAGAGAAGGAAGGAGAGGGCGCATCCCTTCCCCCTAGTCCAATTCGGACTAGGCCTTGGGGGGCGCGCGACCTGCCTCTCTCTCTTTCCCCTAAAGCCCAATAAGGCACATACACTCCTCGGTGAATTCTCGTAACTCCCCGGTACTCCGATAAATACCCGAATCACTCGGAACCTTTCCGATGTCCGAATATAGTCGTCCAATATATCGATCT